CTTTCCATTAATTCTGCCAACAGTAATTTTTGTGATTACTTTGGCTTTGGGTTCGGTTATATTAAACTTTATAGTCAGATTTGTGTCTTCTCTTCCCCAGGTCATTAAAATTCAAGTCCTGCACAACCAACAGGTATATACTGTCCTTCCAATATCACTGGACCATTTGGATGAGGCCAGAACTGGATAGCCAACTCTTGCTCCCCGGGAATAAGAACCCCAGCATATAGGGAGAGTGAAGAGGGAAGAGTTGGAACTTCAACTACTCAACACCCCAAATCAGCAAGAAGCAGCTAGACAGAACCTGACGTCCCATTCCCCAAAATATTTTGAGGTTCCTCTCTCTTCATGGGTAAATATCAGGGAAAGTTTAGGTCCTATGGGCCTTAGGCCTCTCTTACCCTGGCTTCATATCCACCCTTTGCCCTGAGTCCTCTCCTACCAGAAAGGGATCAAGAAAGAGGGAAGGATATCTCTAGTCCAACAGGAATAGTAACCCTGAGAACAAGAGCCTGGGGACAAAGATAAGGATATCAGGACCTGAAACCCTAATAGAAACAGCTGGCCATAAGCAGACAACCCATGGAGATAAAGCCTCCAGTTGACAACTGCAGAAGGCACTTCCTTTCCAAAAAGCCTGAGCCCTTTTACTAGAAAAATGATGAATATTCAACATTCTACTCCTCCTAATCAATATGTATTAGCCCACTTTTATAGAAAGAGACCCTATATCTTTATAAGCATGTGCACCCCAATTCCAAAGGGCCTTCTCCACTCACAGAGACAGACCCGCTTCTCTCTCTGAAGTGTATTTTCACTTTGCAATGAAGAGCTTGTAATTGAATGCTTACTTTTGGGTGCTACTAATTCTTTAGAACCATTCCCCCCTGCCCCCCCTCCCCGATAGTAAGAGGGACCAGTGAAAATGTGACACCTCCTGTCACTCAGTCAACCTCTTCACTGACATATATGAGGGTTTCCTCTGCACCAGGCACAAAGATGGAGAAGATATGGAATCCAATGGTTACAATGGGTCATGCAAAATGACTACAAAGGGATGTCCCAAGTGGAGACCTAGGAGAGTGGGCTCTCAGCCAACTGGGAGACTGGAGAAAGGGAAGAAGCATCTCAACTATTCATTGAAGGATACGCTAGCCATGTTGGAGTCTGGAAAGGGAGAGTGTTCTGGGCTCATCTGGGAAATTTAAGAAATTTAATGAGGTGGGTATGTTGGGTGGGGATATAGATAAGAGAAGGCAGTGGGAAACCAGGAAGTTGGAGGGGTCCAGATTGTGAATTATGCCACATAGAAGAGACAGAACCCAATCTTGGGTTCAGTGGTGGTGGTGGTGGGAGGGCTGTGTAATGAATAACTGAAGTCTGTAGTTTAAATACATAAACCTACAGAGGCACACAAGTTAGATGGGAAGAGGAGCGAAGAAGGAAGACCTGGGGCAGTGATGAATTTGTCATCTTAACCCCAGTAAAGCTTGCTCTTCCTCTTTAGTGAAATGAAGAATGTAATTGTCTCTATCTCTCAGTTATTTTGAGGTTTAATGCATTGCTGTTAAGTGCCGTTGATTCGGTTGTGACCCATAGTGACCCTGTAGAGAGTTTCCAAGGATTGGCTGGTGAGCTTGAACCACCGACATTGTGGTTCAAATCGACTTTGCAGTCCAGCGCATTAACCCACAGTGCCACACCCAGACTCCACACCACACCAGACAATGCATTACAACTATGTCAAACAGCATTATGCTTGACGACAGGCAGTTCTGCCTAGTGATCAAACATAAAGGTCTTTCTGCCATTTCAACCTGGGTTTGTGTCCTAGTCATGTTAGGTGGCATACTTTAAATCTAGGTAAGACAGGAGGATGAAGAGGGGGGAATGATGAAAGAGAGAGGGTCTGATAGGACTTCCCATGTGGAATGTGTGAGGGGCAATGAAACCTCTGGGGAATATGGGTCACTTACTGCAACAAATGCCAAGAAATAATCTAGCTTTGGAGGGCATGAGTTTGAGGAGGGTTGTTGTTGTTAGGTGTCATTGCGTCAGTACCGACCCATAGCCACCCTATGCATAGCAGAATGAAACACTGCCTGATCCTGGGCCAACTTCACTACTCTTGCCACGCTTGAGTCCATCCATGCTGCCATGTGGCCAATCCATCTCATTGGTGGTCTTATTCTTTTTCTCTGACCAAACATAATATCCTTCTCCATTGACTGCTCCCTCCTGACAATATGTCTGAAGTATGAGAGACGAAGTTTGGCCATCTTGGCCTCCATGGAGCACTCTGGCTGCACTTCTTACAAAACGGATCTATTGGTTCTTTTGGCAGCCCATGGCACCACTTTCAATATTCTCTTCCAACACCAGAACCCAAAAGCATCAATTTTTCTATGGTCTTCCTTATTCACTGTCCAGCTTTTGCATGCATATGAGGTTATTGAAAATACCATGGGTTGGGTCAGGTGCACCATAGTCCTCAAACTGACATCTTTGCTCTTCAACACTTTAAAAAGGTCTTGTGCAGCAGATTTGCCAAATGCAATACGTCATTTGATTTCTTGACTGCTGTTTTCCGTGAGTGTTCATAGTTGATCCAAGAAGAATGAAGTCCTTGACAACGTCAATCTTTTCTCCATTGATAAGAATGTTTTTTATGGGTCCAGTGGTGAGGATTTTTGTTTCCTTTACATTGAGATGTAATCCATACTGAATGTTGTGCATTCATATGGATTACACTTCACTTTCAGCAAGCAAGGTTGTATCATCTGCATATCACAGGTTATGAATGAGTCTTCCTCCAATCCTGATGCCACATTTTTCTTCATATAACCCAGCTTCTCGGATTATTTGCTCAGCACACAGGTTGAATAAAAATGTTGAAAGAATACAACCTTGCCGCACACTGTTTTTCATTGTAAACCAATCAGTGTTCCCATGTTCTGTTCGAACTACTGTTTCTTGATCCATGTACAGATTCCTCATGAGCACAATGAAGTGTTCCAGAATACTCATACTTCACAATGTTGTCCATAGCTTGTCATGATCCACACAATCCACACATTCGGTCATGCATCCCTGCGAGTCACCAGAATGGAGGTGTGCAGACAGCGAGAGACCAATGATCAGATACTAAAAAATGAATGTCCACAACCCGAGGTTCTGTCAGGCAGCTGAGGCTGTTCTGATCCATCCCCCTCTTGATCTCTCCAAAGATGGCGGCTCCCGGAATAGTTGAGCGTCTTAATTTAGAAAGCAATGGATTTCTTGGTTCTGCTACAAATTTCCCTAGCTGTAAGCCTTCCAGTCTTCTAAATATCCCTTTATATGTGGTTCAGAGTTCTAGCACCATCCCCTGAGCCTACTTGGTCTGTTATTGTGTGTTGTTGCTGACAGAGCTCCTCACTGCACGTGTACCCCATCTGCCCTCTTGTTGCAGGTATTGGAGCATATTCACGATGCCCATGTCAGAATGATTGCCAATTCAACACCAGTTCTGCTCTCCTCTCACACCAAGGAAGAGCCAGGAGGTTCAGGTGGATGCCAGAAAAGGAGAAAGCAGAAAGAAAGGGGCTCAGCCAGATACAGGAGGGTGTTCTTGAAGCCAGCTTCAGATCCCAGGCAGGACTAGAACCCAAGAGGGCAAGCCTGGTGGCTCTAGATGTGGCAAACTTCACCAAGCAGAGAGGCAGGGAGGCTCAGGAAGGACTAGGTGGTGCTCCAGCCCCTCTGCTTCTAGGATTAAGGAATCTGAGCAGGGAGATTGGACCAGAGGGACAAGGCGGGGGTGCCAGTGTGACCTGTGAGAGAAAGAACAAGATAGCAGGAAGCTGGGAGGAGGGAGTGGGGGGTGAAGAGTGAGCAGGGGAAAGAGAAAGGGAGGGTCTGTGGGGTGGAGAGAGGAAA